GTCTAGGGCCAGACTTCTTGGAACAGCTGACTGGGGCTCCTGTTTCAGGATCACCTAGGTGTGTTGCAGCAGGCACTGGTATTGCTACCAGCCAGAGCAAGGATCAGATACTTGAACAAAAGCAGCCCCCACTAATCTCAATGTTGAGGTAAGACTCTTTTTTCAGCATCCTCCAGGTGTGCAGGTGCAGGAACCTCGTCCTCCCTGGAGGCACCCTTGGCAGGAGGGAACCCAGCAGGCTCCAACAGTCTCCAGAGATGAGCACTGGCTTCTTGTGTGCTGCCGTGGGCAGAGGCTGAAAGTGATGGGCTAGTGCAGCCTGGTAGAGGGGAGGCAGGAAGGTGGGCTCTCACTGCTGCTGGAAGCTGTGGATTTGTGGTGAAGCTGGAGCTGGGCTCTCCTGGGAAGTGCCCAGGGACAGGATGAGAGACAATAGCACATGAGGGAAATTCCAATTAGATATTAGGAAAAATATTTCCCTGCAAGGCAGTTAGACTCTGGAGTAGGGCCCAGAGAAGGGAAGCAATCTACACATTCGGTGACTTTCAGCCCTTGCCAGGGGCAAACCCCAAGCAATTTGCTTGAGCTTGACCCTGCTGTTAGCAGGATTGGACCAAAACCCTCTGAGGGCCCTTCCCACCATTGTTGTTACTCAGTTCTGCAGTTCTCAGAGTGCTTGGCAATGTCACATCTTGTGGCCTATTGGACTGACTGGCTTGGAGGCAAATGGAGGGGTCAGGATGTTGTTCTGTCCTCTCTTGGTCTCATCCACACAGTATTAGCTGTGCCAGGAGATGGAGGCACTGCCTTAGCAGCGGTGCTCAGCTCATTGACTTGTCCCAGCCTATCTTAGCTGGAGCACCCATCTCTCTGAAGGTCTGCATTACTTCCTCCCCACGTGAGCACAAGAAGCATGTGGGCAGTGAAGCACAGAGTGTAAATCATTCTCCCTGCTCTGCTGGCAGCACAGAGCCATGATCTGTAAGGGGGTGCTGATGTTGTTGGAAGGCTGGTGAGGATGCTGGCCCCCAGCCCTCCAACTGGACGGGCTCCAGGTTTATCTTCCCCATGATGCCTGTCCCAGAGACAGTGGTGATTGGAAGGGAAGTCACCAGTAGCCTTTTTAGAGGTTCCAGCTGCCTGACCATCCTCAGCAGATGGAGGATGAGATGAGCCCAAAGGACTGTCTGGAAAGAATTATTTGCTCCCAGTATTTTCTGTTTCTTTGCCAGCCTTTTATTCTCACGGTTGCTCTTTTCCTGATCCTGTCCTTCTGCAAGAAGGCTGCTAGCAGTCTTATCAGCCTTGTGTTCAGAAACGATCTCACTCTGCGATTTATTTTATCTCCAAGCTTTGACCCTGGTCTGACACTGCAGAAGCCTGTGTCTGGTGTGTCAGTGCTCAGAGGGTGTTTACAGTGTTTGCCCCATCCTGTCTGCAAGAGTAATGAACCAGAGCGAAGGGGTCTGCTCGTAGCCATGGTGCCTGGGTCGAGCTGGCCTGCAGCAGGAGCTACATCTGCCCTCTCATCTGGCAGAGGCTGGGTGGATGTCCAGGCTCCCTAGATGCTTTTATATGGATTTTCAATGTCTAGGACATTGCCATGAACCTTTGTTAGTCCCCAGATCCCTTCTCAAGTTGCTCCTTTCAGCCTTTCCCTCGGGCTCGTTGACACTGGGCTGCGATGGCTCTCACTTCCTCAACAGTCCACTTGTTACTCAGTAATGCTCTGGACATTCTGGTATCATTTGGATATTCCTGTTACAACACCTGTGAGTATTGAGAGCAGCAGGATCTGGTGGTCTGGGCCAAGAGGCCCCTGAAGTCTGTTCCCAGCTGCAGGTACAAGTGCTGCCCGGCTGGAAATGAACTGGTTTCTGGTAGCACTTGGAGAGCTCTCAGGTACCTCATAGGCTCTGTCTGCCTAGCAGCATCAGGTCTCAAGGGACATCTGTGTCCTCAACAGCATGGCTGCCACCAGGATTGAAGGTGTTTTGGACTCAGTGTCCTTAGGCTGGTTTATGAGGTCTCTGAGCTTTGTGTGTCCCCACAGAAGCAGCAGAGCAAAACATGGGTGCAACAGTGGCAGCAGGCAGAGTTTGCCCAGGGTTCTTGCTGAGACTGATGTGGGGGGCAGATAGCCCCAAGGACACGTCCTCTCCAGCCTCTTCCTGGTTTGAACCAGTTGAGGTTTGGCTTCCTCTCCATCTCCATGCAACACCCAGTTGCCAGGTGGATTTCCCCTTCCATCTGGAGGGCATCCCTGGCCATGTGCATTGCTCAGAGCCCTGGCAGCCCTACAGGAGTCCCTGTGGAAGGGGTGGCAGGTGCACTGGGCAGACGGCTCTGCTGTCAGTGGGACCACATGAGTGGTTAAGTGTGTGGACTAGGAGGTTTGCCAGTTTCACGGGATGTAATAGGAGCTAGACTGTGTCTCCCACTGCCCTGTGTATGGATATGCCTGTGGTCAGACATGACAGTCCCTCCTACCCTCTTGTTTCCCTTCTTAGGGGCTTGTGCTCTCATGTGTTTGATTTCATTATGGGCAACAGTATGAGTGTTTACAGATGAAAACTGTGACACCCTTTGCCTAATTCCAGCAGGGTGTTTCTCACCTGCAGTCCTAAGGGAAGGAGAGGCTTTCCTTTTCCGTGACAAGGAGCAGGACATTGAATTCATAGCGCAAATCCTCCTTCCCTGCTGTAGCCCTGGTTGCGTCCAGCTCTTTACAATCAAAGATGGATAAAGCCTTGCCTTTATGGCCCGAATCTCTGCCCAGCCCGTGTCATTGCTCTGGCCTGGGCTAGACCTGAGCTTTTCTAAATCGCTGCTGGATAAGGGTGAGTTGGGTGGGGGTGCACAGCCGTGTGTGTGTGTTTGCGTGTGGTATCTCCTCCCCCTGTGCCACATACACGTCTAGCACGGGGAGTGGAAAAGATGCTGAATGTCCCCACAGCTGCTGCAGCCTTATCTGCAGGCTGCAGCTTGGTAACCAAGAGGGAGGCCCGAGTGCCTGTGCTCAAGCACCTCCCTTGCAGGGCTCTTACGGGCTCTTACAGTAAAAGGAAGTGTATTGCAAGAGGGGCTGCAGCGGGGATGGGCAGTTCCCACCAGGCAAATCCTGCGTGCACAACCCTTGCTGCCCTTCCCACTGCAGTCACTTGGCCTGCTCTCTCTGCCAACATGTAGATTTGACGCCTGTGTCCGGAGCTGATCAGAGTAATTCAGCATCCCTGGGACTTTGTACTCTGCTCTGCAGTGCCCAGTGACCACTTGGGGAGGTAGGGAAAGGTGAGGCTGCCGTGGTTCTCTCAGGTGGGTCTCAGGGACTCATCAGAGGAGTGTGTGTGAGGAGGCATGGGCTGGTGGGGCTGCAGATGTGTGGCAACCAGGGGTGGGAGGAGAGTGGGGTAAGTTGAGGTGTGAGCTGCAGCAATAAGGAGGCAACAGAGCACAGGTAAGGAGCTGGGGACACCCCTTGGGGGTTTGAGGAAACAGGGCAGGACCTGCGAGTGGTGGAGGTTGGGGTGGGTATGAAGAAGAGCAAACTTGTGGGGATACAGAGCCCAGCTGCCATGTGAAGGATGTGGGAAAGGTGAAGTGGTGTGCATCTGGGTTCAGGCAGTGTGAATGGCTACAGGGTGTCAGGGTACAGAAGGAGCTGGCTTGGTAAGGAGCAAAGACGGGGCTGTGGATGCCTGGGGCTGTATACAGTGGTGAACAGAGAGAGAAGAGAGGTGAGAGCAGAGGTAGGAGCAAAAGGGATCCCATCACCTGCTGATATCTGTGCTGTCTTCTCCTGGCTCAGAAAGCGTCACCCCACTGCCAGAGCTCCCTGTCAGAGGCTTCTGTTTCTGTACCCAGCTAGTGGTGCTGGAGAACAGGCTGGGCTGTTCATGCTGCACATAATGATCTGGTTTCCCATGGTGCACTGCCCAGGACAGGGAGCTGACAGGATGGGAGTTACTCTAAGTGATTGCCTTGCCACTGGAATTGAGTTAAACAGGTTGGAATAGGGTTTGCAGGGCTTCTGATAACACCAACCCCAGGGTGTTATTCCTTCTCTTGGGAGATCAAGTAAAAAGGACTTAGTGCTAACATTTGTGCTAACATTACTTGGAATGGTGAGGGCCTAGTCCAGCTTGGACCTGGGGTATGCCTCCCTTGGACAAATACCCTTACTGAACTTGAGATGTGGCAGCATGTTGGTGCCCTGGTCATGGCCAGAGACCTCAGGTGTCATGCAAGCACAGAGCAGAAGTGGCCCCTTTGCCAAGACCCACTTGCCTTCTCACAGCCATCCTGTAACTGGCGACACAGGCATGTGACTTTGTAATCAGCAACGGTGGAAAATTTTCCATTGCTTGCAGTTGGCATCAAGGTCTGGCCTGGAGCAGCCAGTCTGCATGGTCACCCAGTGGCCAGGGTCCCTGTCCCTCAGGCCACCGCCCCTGGAGGGGGACAAGAGGAGTGGAAGGGAGCTGGCCGACATGTCCCTGTGACTGGGTGGCCAGGGGCTTGCTTTCACTGCAGGTACTTTCTTTGTTGCCTCAGGGTGACAGCTGAGGTCACTGTGGTGCTGCCAGGACAGCACCCTGGGGCTCCCCAGGGCTGGCAGGTGCAGTGCCGGCTGCACCTTCCCCTGTGGACGATGATGCACGGCAGCTACACCGAGGTGAAAGGACACAGCTTTTTATGAAGCAGAGCCAGCCCGGAGGAATTCGCTGCTTGTGGACAGCTGTTGTCCTGGGCCTGGCTTGTGTCCTCCAGCACTTCCCACCCGGCCCTTCCTCGGGGAGGGGAATGGGAACTGCCTACCCTCCGGACTCCCTGTGCCGGGCGAGTGGGTGCCACCTCGGGCTCGCGGGGCTGAATAGCCGCGGTGGAGCCCAGCAGCATCCTGCTGCCTCTGCAGGGATCCTCTTGGGCAGCGGAGAGTTTTCCCCACCCCCAGCTCTGCCGCTGCCTCTTTGTTTTCTGGCAGAAGCCTCTGTGCCTTTTCATTGCCGTTGAGGCGCCGAGCAGGAGCCTACATGTGCCGTGTGCGCGTCTCGCCGGGAATGTGATGCGGGCTGGGAAGCCTGCCGGGCCAGGCATCTCCCCTGCAGGGCTGCGGAGGCCAGACGGCAGCTTCGGGGTCTCCTTCCCATGGACTGTTCCTCCGGTCGAGCAAGGCTCCGAGGCCGCTAGTCTTCTCCACAAAACCCTGTTTCGCGTTGGCAGCGCTTCTGCACCTTGCCACAAGTAGAGTAAGTTGGATGGGAAAGGGCCGGTCCTCAGCTGGGCTCCGCTGGGCACTCGTGCTCTCCGCTGTGGTCCTCCCTCGCTCCCGCTGGGAAGGCACCTGAGATTAGAGCAGCGCCAGGAGCTCTGGAGCTGGATACAGCGGTGGCTGAGGATTGCTTGTGCTGCGCCTCTCTCCGTGTATTTGATCTCTCGACTTCCAGCAGGGACTGAATTCCTGTGCTGGATTCTGGGCTCGGCTCTTGTGAAAGGATCCAATTATTTCAGAGCTTTGAGCATCTCCATTTGCTGCCCATATTTGCGGCGCCCGGGTCTGTGCTGGCTGGAATTCCAAGTGATTAACGTGGCTGTGACATCCCTCCTAGGGGTGTTATCTTTGCTCGCTGTCCCCCATCGCCCCCCTCTTCCTCCTCCGGCAGCGAGCGAGCGAGACAGGCAGGCAGAGACAAAGGTCTGTCCTCAACCTGGGCTGTCCTCCCTGTAAGCGGCTGCTGCATGGGATTCCCCTGCCCTGCCTGCTGCAGGTTTCCTGGGCTCCCGGTCGAACGCTGGAGCTGGGCAGCCGTGGGGCTGTATTGCTGAGGTTTGAGCCTGCTGGGCTGGGTGGGCAAGGGGTGCTGCCGGCTTTGGAGAGCTGCCCGATTGTCCTGCCGGATTTTAAGCTGCTTTTCATTCTTTGACTGTGCTTTCCTGGGAAGAGGGGCAGCCGTGCATGGAGGGGAGGCTGGCGGGGAGAGGTTGGACGTGGGGGGAAAGCTATACACAGGTGGCCGTCGCATAATGGGATCTGCCTGCAGACCCTGTGAGCCCCCCTTCCCAGTTGCGGGCTATTGTCAGCATCGCTGGCTGCATGCGAGGCACCTGGGCAAGGTGTGCAGAGGCAATCCATGCCACGACGTGGGTCATCAGAGGGAGAAGGGGTAAGTCTCTGGGCTGGGAGCTCTGCTCCGGCTCCCCCACCTCCCAGGAGAGGTTTCATTGTGTTATCCTGACTTAGCCGAGCAGAAGGGCTCAGTCCCTGCGGCACCTGTGTGTGGGGCTGGGGCTGGGGAGGCGTCGCATGTTGCTGGGCAGACCTCAGCTTCTCCGGAGCCTGCTGTAGCCTGGACCCCCAGCAAAGTGCCCTGCAGAGCGGGCTGCTCTGTCCCCAGGGGCTTCTGCACCCCCGTCAGTGCCCTCTCCTACGGGATGGGAGGGAGGAAGGGGCAGCAGCAGCACCTCACGAACGCCGTGCTGTGGGCAGAGGGAGGTGTCGGATCTGCCTCTGTAGAAGCTGTGTCTGGTGGTTTCCAGGAGCTCGCACTCCTAACATAGGCACTGCCTCTTGCCCAATCCTTCCCCTCTGGGCTCGGGCTTCCCCTCCATTACTAGCAAGGGCCAGCACTGAGTGAGGCTCTGCAGCTGCATAAATCTGGCATGGCAGGAGGCCTCCTGAGGACCCCCAAGAGCAGCACTTGCCCTTGCAGTGGGACAAGGATGCTCCCTCCCTCTGCATCCTCTCTCCCTCTCTCCCCTCATCCTTCCCCCTTGTTTCCACCAAGTGTGAGCTCCTTCAACCCCAACCTGAACTGCAGGATAGTCCCAGAGCCATGGCTACTGGTCATCTTTCCCTTCAGGCACTGTTTACTCCTCTAGCATCTCTCTAGCCAGCTTCTCCCCAGGATTGCTACCTCTCATGTGGACAGTGCTGGAGGTGGTCTGTCTCTCTCTTGGTGGTGATATGCCTGATCTGTCACACTGTGCAGAAACCCTTCTCTGGTGGCAGCATTACTGCTAGTGCTGCCATCCCTCAGGGTTGTGACGGAAACTTTCTGCCTGCTGGCACTTTGCAGGCTCTGCTCTAGACTGTGCCAGGGAGCTCCTGTGTTTGTGCTTGCACTGGTTAGATTTCCTTCCTTCTCCCTGGGTTCAGATAGGACCAATGGAGCTGTGATTTATCCTCCAGACAGTCTGTTTCCAGCAGTTTCCGTTGCCTCTTCTCTTGCCTTGTGCTCTGTACATTCTTAGAATGACTATATGCCCTCTTGTAATGACAGCCCTTCTGCTTCCTGGCTGTGTGGTTCCTGCTTCACCCCCAATGAGGCTGCAAATGTCTCCTTACCACTTCCCAGGAGACAAAGCAGGAGAGAAGAAGCCAGTAAAAGCCACTTAGGGGTTGGTTGGGTTTTTTTTCTGGTCTAAATGGTGCAGGGACTCCTTTTGGCTCTGCCAGCCCCTGGGCATGGTGCTCTGCCCCAGCCAGCAGTGCCCAGGCCAAAACCTCTTGTCTGCTAGCCATGTGTCCCCTTGACTGGCTGGCAGTGCTGCTCTGGGAAGCCACATGGATCCCCACTGGGCAAGCATGGCCCCTTCAGGCACAGCTCTAGCTTTCTTCCTTGCGCCAGTGCTAAGCTGCCAGCCCTGCCAAGCTCCCCTTTCCAAGGGCTCTGCAGATCCTGCCCCATGACAGACACCTCCCTGGCTGGCAGAGCTGCCCTGCACCCATCCCACCTCATTTCTGGCTGGCACAGTACAGCTGAAACAGCAACAGTCCTTTTGCAGGCTGCAGGCATGTGGTACAGCTGCTGCATCGCCCAGACAGGGACCCTTCCTCACCCACCATCCTGCACTGTTGCCACCAGGCTGAGACCATGGTCTGTTAATCCTGGGTTCCCCCTGGGTGTGCTAATAGGAATGGAACCAGCAGGTAAGCCAAGTCTCATGACCCTCTCTGTGTCATTCTCTGTCAGGATCTAGTGGCTTGGTGTCCCCAAGGAACAGAGTGTTTCTGTCCCAGTGCCTGGGACACACTCCTTCCCTGCAGGTGCTTTGGCACTGAGTGTTTCTTGGCTGTTGAAGCGTGGTGCCCTTCCCCAGGCAAAGGAATAGAGGAAAGCTGTGCCTGGCATAGCTCCAGATCCAGGTGCTGGGAGATCCTGGCAAAAGCACAGGGCCCCTCCTGTCTTCTGAGCACTGAGGGGGCCTGGGAGCCTGGCAAGAGCAGGGCAGAGAGTGGGAGGAGCTCTGGCTGGGCTTCCTTCAAGAGGCAAAGCCCTTTAAGTCATATTTTAGAATCAGACCACCAGCACAGGCTAAAACACTGGCAAAATCAGCATTACTTGGGCTTGGGAGGGCCAAACCCTTGGCTTGGGCATGTGGAGTCCCATGTGCTGCATCGAGAGGATGGTACCTGTGCTGGACCTGGACCTGGCTCTGTCCCATCCGTGTGGCCAGAAGGGGGGCTCTGGTGATGCCTGGCTCAAGGGGAGGAAAAGGGAGAGATGATCAGGTGCTTTCTCCTTGTTGTCCCTGCTTGGAATGCAGGAGTCCCTGGTCCTGGTGTTGTTGTCTTGCTCTGTGGGGAGGCGGTGGGCTCCCCAGTGGGTGCTGTCAGAGGCTGAGCCCTACCGAGAGCTGGCTGGAAGTACCCTGGGAGGCAGAGCTAAACACAGCTAGGAGAACCTCCCCTGGACACGGTGCCTTGCATCTTGAAGAGGATGCAAAGCAATACTGTGCTCCAGCTGCTCTCCATCCCAGGCTGATGGGCACTCCTCTAGGGGGATGTACAAGAAGATCCCAGGGTGTAATTGAAGACACTTGGGTGGGCTGAGGAATTCTGGCATTTTCCAACACGATACTTCAAGCAACAGTATCTGGGCTGGCAAAACATGGTGCAGCCCCCCTTGTGTTCTAGGTCTCTGCTGGGATGGGTTTGTGGTGTCAGCAGGTCAGCCTCTCCTGATGGATCCATTCTCCTGAAAGGCAGCTGCTGTTGGGGAGCAAATGGCTGTGATTTCAGAGGGGTGTGGGAAGGAGAAAGAAAGGATTTAGGTGAAACTGTTCTGGCAGGGACACACACACTTTCTCCCACTGCACCACGATGATTCTTACTGTTGGTTGCTGATTTGCTTCCCAGTGGTTGACTGTGCCACGCAAGTCATGGTAAAAGTCTCCCCCAGAGATGGAGGAGGGAAACAGCAACCTTCAAGGAAGGCAGAGCACAGCATGTTACCACCTCAGCATCCACCAGCAAATGAGGGCATTTACTTGCTTTCCTACATGCTTTGGTGCAGGCCTCATGTGGGGTGCAGGAGGAGCTGGTCTTTACAAAAAGCTTCTGTTGAGGTTTTGGACCCGAGGTTTATTATGCTGCAATATTGATTTGCCCAGCTGCAAGTGCTCCCTGGGTGCTGGTGTATTTTATCTCAGCAAGTCCTGTTCTGGCTGGTTGCTGGCACTGCCCTTCCCCACCACTGCTGGCAGTGGCTTTTGGGCTGTCCGAGTCTGAGGGACTGGCCCTGGCAGCCTGTAATTACAAATCTTATTGAAAACGTAATGAAAGAACAGCCTGTTTCCTGGGGCAGGCGAGGTCAGGCAGTGAGCACAGTGAGTGACCTGCTGAAGCTGCCTTCCCACCTGCAAGATGGTGGGATGCAGAACTTGCCAGACCAGGGTGCCAGAAGGGGTTTGCACTTGAATGTTGGTGCCTCTGAACATCCATTTGAGGTTTTTCTTCATTTGCCTGGCTATGCTGTTTCCAGCTTTCAGAGCAGTGCTTGCTGCTGACATGGGATGCCCAGATGGTGACTTCCCTCTGGATGGCTGCTGCAGTGAGCCTCCATTTGAGGGATGCATGTGGAGGGAAGTGGGGAGGGCAGGCACCTTTTCCTCCTTCATCTGGAGGCTCCTGGGCTGGAAAAGCCCATGAGCTGCCCTTCCAGAGAGGTGCTGAGGGTGGAGGTGTCCAAGGGCTCCTGCCCACATGAGCTGCTGCCTGAGCTGACTCTCCTCTATGCCCTCTTTCAGGCATCAAAGCTGCAGTGCTGGTGGATTATGACTGCAGGGGAGCTGTGTTGCATCTGCAAATCTCAGCTGTGCATCAAGGGCACATCTGAGCAGGTGAGTGCTGTGCACATGAAAGGGCTGTTGTCTTTGTGCTGGGGAAAGCTGGTGGGGGGTCATCATGGCTCAGGGCTGTCAGGCTCCTTGTTTCTGCCTTTCCTGACTGTCATCTCTTATTGGAAGAAAACAATTCCAAGCTCTTCTCCTTATCTGTAGGGCCAGAAATGTCCTGTGCTGTGGGTGGAAGGGGGAGGAGGTGAACATGAGATCAGGAGCTAGCTGGAGGCCCAGAGGTTGCTGCAGTGTCTTGTAAAACAAGGCATGAAATGGTCGCCAGAAAGAAAGAGGAATCTGTTCATAAGCAACAGAGTTTCATACAGGAAGGCATGCAAAAGGGATGTAAAATACAATCCAGGTATGAGAGTTCACAGCTTAGCTTAAAGTACTTGTGGTTTAAATGTCATTCAGGGTGATAGCACTGCCTGAGATGGTTGAGATGTATGTGGCCTTTGGTTTGGGTGGTTGGGAAAGGCTGAGACTAAAAGCTGCCTTCCCTTGCTGTGTGACCCCACAGAGTGGCAGTACCCTCCTGCCCTACTCCTGGAAAGCATCTGAACCACTGCAGCCCTGCATCTTCCACTTTCCATCCCCCCAGAGCCCCTGTGGACACTGAAGAGCTGGAGAGGACATTGCAGAGGCTCGGAGGCACACCGTGATGGTGGGAGCCATTCCACGGCAGCCACGGCGCTTCTGGGGGGTGCCTGACTGGCAGGTGATTTCAGCTGGTTGTGCCAACGACCGCCTGCTGCGGGACAGGGAAGTTAATCCGGAGATAAGCAGGGTTCTGCTGCAGAGGGGTGAGTGCGGGGGGCAGCCAGGGCAGGCTGCACTGGTGTGGGCTACACAGAGGGGCTGAGGTTGCCAGGGACATCTGGAGGGTGTCTGATCCAACCCTGCTGCTCAAGCAGGGCCACCTAGACCCATTGCCCAAGGTTGTATCCAGATGACTTCTGAATATCTCCAAGGATGAAGACTCCACTACCTCTCTAGGCAACTGTTTACAGTGCTCAGTCACCCTCAAAGTAACAAAAAAAATTGTGTTTCCTGATGTTCAGAGGGAACCTCTTATATATATTTATATAGATAAGATCCCCCTGAGCTTTCTCTTCTCCAAGCTGAACAGTCCCAGCTCTCCCAGCTTTCCTCACAGGACAGATGCTCCAGTCCCTTAAATTTTTTTTCTTGGTGTCCCTTTGCTGCACTCTCAGGTGACTTCACCAGTGCTGAGCAGAGACAAAGGATCAGTTCCCTTGACCTGCTGGCAATGCTGTGCCTAGTGCAGCCCTGGACACTGGTTTTTCCTTGCTGCAAGGGCACGTTGCTGGCTCATGGTCAGCCTGGGGCCCACCAAGACCCCCAGGGCCTTTTCTGCTGAGCTGCTTTCCATCCAGTCAGTCCCCAGCGTATCTTGATGCATTCCTTTTATCACTCCTTTTAAATAAAGTTCCTGGGCTCAACCACCCTGGCCTGCCACTTTCCCATCCCCATTGTGGCAGGGTCAAAATAATACCACATGAAGCCTTGCTCTCCAGATAGCCTTGATTCACCTGCAGAACCAATTTCCCTATTGCTCACTTGCCCCTAAGCCCTTGCGCCACAAGATCAGGCAGAGCTGCCAGGCATGGGCAGTTTGTCTTCAGTCTGCTGGTGACTTTTCCTGCATCTCCTCAGCTCTTGCAGCCATTTTAGTATTTATCATGCCAGAACTGAAAAAATCCTGGACAGGATTCTCACAGCTCTCAAGCTGGGCTGAACCAAAAGCGAGGTACCATGCAGCATGGAGGAGGTCAGGCCCTTGGGGCTGGCAGGAGTGGGTGGATGGTGACCCTGGTACCACCCAGCTGCTGATTTAGGTGGTGAAGGCACCTGGTCCAAGGTGGCAGAGGTAACGGGGATGCTAGGCCAGGTTCCTGTCCCTCCTGTGGGGCTGGCAGTGTAGGGCACCAGGTTGTCTTGGCCAGCACTGGGAGATCTTGTTGCTGTTGCCCAAAGGGGGGATTACAGGCCTGAGTCCCTCTGGGACTGGTCTGACCTGCCTGACTCCTGTGCTCCAGAGCAGCACAAGCACGTCAAGTCCCTGGCAGAGGGCAGGCCTCTTCCTCCCTACTTGTCCAGACTTGTCCCCAGTAGTCTCCTGCCTGGCTGGAGACTTCTCTCCTTGCCCAGGCTGGGAAGGAAGTGTTGAACCTGCAGGTGGGTGATGCCTCAGGGTTCCCCAGAAAGCAAAACCAGCCTAATTCCTCTTCCTGTCCCTGGAGCAGGAGGTTCAAGTGGGGCTGTGTGAGGAGCTGCCCATATCCCGGTAAGTTTCTTGCAGCCAGAAGTCTGGATGAGGGTGTAGATCCCAGGCTGATCTCCATCCTCCTACCCTTCTTTTTTCAGATGCTGTGCTGCAGACCACTCCATAGTGGAGGGCTCAAACAGAGATCCTGAGCAAGGGGGGTCCAGCTTCCACCCCCTGCCCTTGCACTCTGACCTGTGGCACTTTACAGTCCCACTCCTGCTGCTGCATGGGCTGTTCTGACTCCGGCTCCGCTCGGAGTCCAGGCAAGTGAGGCTCCATGCGGCACATCCACACAGAGACGTCCCTGCCCCCGGAGCGCAGCACAGACCCCAGCCTGTCCCGGCCCAGTGGAGAGACGCCCTTGGAGCCCTCCTCGCAGCGCTGCACCCACCGCAGCATCCTCATGGGCTACAACGAGACAGAGATCAAGCGCCAGAAGGTTTACCAGGTCTCCATCTTCTCCCACCTCTCCAGCTCCTCTGAGAGCACGGAGCAGCGGGCAGGCAGCCAGCCGGCTGTCAAAAGGGGATACCCTGAGCAGCGAACTCTGGAGGGGGGGCGAGATCCCAAACGAACTCACTGGGGTGACAGGGGGGTGGAGAGCAAGCGCGATGGGGGCCCTGGGCAGCCTTCCCTGGACGATGATGATTCCTTTGAGGATGGTCTGCTGGTGGAGGAGTTATCCCTGTGCGGCTCTGCCCAGCACTTCTCCCACAGCGGGCTGCATGTGGTGGAGCACCGCTGTGAGGGCAGCCCCAGCCACAGCCCCAAAGCCAGCAGAGAGGACAAGTCACAGTATGTCTCCTCATCCTCCTCCTCCTCCTCCTCCTCCTGGCCCCAGCACATTGCTTGCAGTACTTTGCACATGAGAGACAGTTGCTCTGTCTCATCGGGGGATCATCCCACAGACTATGGAGAAAATGGGGAGCCAGCAAGTGGCCACAATGTACTTCACCTTGAATTGCACAGTATTGCACAAACAACCCAGTTGGACTCTGATGGGAAGAGAGAGAAGCCAGGCAGCATCCCAGCTCACAGCAGCAGGGCTGGTGGAGAAGATGAAGGGTCAGTGGTGGGCAATGGGTGCAAGAAGCCCCCAGCTCCGCAGACAGCGCTCAGTCCTGAGCCCAGCAACCTGAGCTCCCAGGAGACAACACCCTGTGGGAGCAGCCACTTCAGCAGCAGCTGCCCAGCCAAAAGGAAGTTGCTGCCTGCTGGTGAGGTTGTGGCTGACTCCTGCTCTGAGGATGAGAGCCTGTCCCCACCGGCAAGGAAGAAGAGGGTCCTGCCATGCCACCCCGTCCCCACAGCGTGCCGCAGCACTGATGCCAAGGGGGCCCCTTTCTGGAATCACCTGCTTCCTGCTGCCAAGGTGAGCATTGCTCATGAGGGGAGGCAGGGAATGGCCTGGGGATACCCAGAGCTCATTGTCCTTGTGGGCAATGTAGTCCACTGTGCCCTGTCCTGTCCTAGTGCTGCAGCACTGGTGTGAGCAAGGCAGGAGCTGACAGCCAGCCCCAGGACACATGGTATGTTTCAACCAGCTCTTGACATCCTGTAGTCACTGGATTCTCTGCTTGCAACCACCTTTCTGTCCTGGAGAGCCTTGCTTGGACAGGAGACAACATCCCCATGGCAGTCAGAGCTGGACACGTGGCATGGGGCCACATGTGGTGTCTGATGGCTTCATGTTAAGCTGGATATACCAGCAAGCTTGGGAAAAGCATCTGGCCTCTGCCTGCCTGATGAGCAGGAAGGCAGATGTGTGGCATGGCTTGAACTCCTGGCCATGATATCCATTAGAGCAAGGATTTGGTAGCAGGGAGTGGGACTGGACATGCTCTGACCAAGGGGCCCAGTGTTGTGTGCACAGATGTCACTGGCTTTTCTGCAGCTTTTGGCATGTCCTCAGGGTGTCACAAGCTCTCAGGAATGGGGCAGACCCCCAATGTTTGCAACTACCCTGGCAGCTCAGGAGCTGCCTGCGATTCTTCCCTTCTTATCCTGCCCTCCTGACCAGCTCCCTGCCCTCTCCCTGTCCTGCCAGCTGAAGCTGCAGCAGGCTCACGCCATACCTGGCATGCTCTTCTCTTTACCCGTGGCATCCCATGGTTCAGGGATCCGCAGGAACTGATGGCAGAGGCACCCTGGCTTCTTGCTGCTTGGAGCTGGGACACACCATCCAAGGTGCACAGCTGCATTCCTGCATGCCTTTTTCATGACTGTCCCCCAGCCCAGCTGCCCCCAGCACTGTCCTTGCAGAGTGAAGCCCTCCAGCAGCTTCCCTGGGTTTTCCCACCCGGTCATGCCAGCCAGCTCCATCATCCCTTTGTGTTGTGCTGCCCTTTGTGTGGCTTCCAGAAGGGAAAACCCCTGAAAAGGGGACGTCTTTAAAAGGAGGCTGCAGTGTGGCTCTGGCTTTAACCCCCCCACCTGTAGCTGTAGGATTCTGGCTGTGGGCAGGGGTGGGCATCAAGCCCCTTTGCCCAGTGACACTGCTGAGGACTTTGCATGAATCACCAGGGGACTGAACTTCTCCCAGGCTGGTCGGGGAGTTTCCTTGTACGTGTCACTGGTCCCTGGGAGGTTCAAGGGGGTGTTGGTTCATGGCTATGGCTGGGGCTGTCACTGGGGCTGGTCCTGAGACGTGCTTTGCAAGGTGGGAATTGTGTGCTGCACCCTCAGTTGGCTACCAACACCCTCATCCCCAGCTGAATCACTCTGGGATTTGGGCAGCCCCACATCCCCACCAGACACCCCAGTCCTCATGCTGCCCTGCTGGCTACCCCTGCAGAGGCTTATGATGGCTCTTCATGGACAGGAGCCAGTTCCATCTGCTGGGGCCCTCGTGGGGCTGTGGAGCAGGGCAAGGGGTGCATGGTCTCTGATCGCTGCCCTAACACAGTTCTCCATTTCGTGTCCCCTCCAGACTTCTGCAGATTGCACTGCAGTCGGGAGGAGGCTGAAGAGCGGGCTACGCCTCAAATCGTGAGTGTCCTGGCAGCCCTGTGGGATGGATGTGGGGGCTCAGGGTGCCTGGCCACCCCTGCACCCTGCAGCCCCACGGGAGATTCAGGTTGGGTTGAGTCCTCTTCCCTGCCCTGCCCTGCCCTGCCACAGGCATCTCTCCTCCACAAGACCCCAGCCTGTGGGGCAGTGGGGGGGTTTCTTCAGCACCTGGGGAGAAGTAAAGTGGGTTCAACCCCCAGCAAAGAAAGGGATGGGAGATCTGGAGAGGGATCCACATTCCCAGGGACATGGACAGCCTAGGGCTGCATGCTCTCCAATCCAACACCAGTCTTCTCTCCTCTCTCCAAGGCGACATCTCCGGAGCAGCCTCCGGAGGGGCACCAGATCTCCCACAGCACCCTGGGCCGCCACCACTGTCAGCCATGCTCTGCTGGGCAACTTTGAGGTAACAGAGCCCACCTGACAGGGGGAGGTGGGTCCTGGGGACTCCTGGCTGGACTGGCGATGGGTGTGAGAGGCTGAACTTGATGGGAACCTGGCTGAGGGGCTGGGCTGACGGAAGCCTGGATTTGAGGCTGGGCTGATTGTCCCCAAAGGGCATGCAGTGGCCATCACGCAGCCACCAGCAGGATGGCTCAGCCAGATCCTTGGGGAAGGCAAAAAAACTAGATCCTGCTGAGGTGGCTGCTATGAGGCAGAGCGAAGGCACTCTTGCTGCTTCACTGTGTTAGATGGCTGGTTTTATCCCAGTTCAGGGTGGGTCTCTGTCAGAGCCAGGGCCCCTCATGGGTGGTCTTTGGACATGTGAGGGCAAGTCAGATAGGTGTGTGCAGTGGAGGTGGGGGTGATCTCACCTGGAGCTTTGAGGCGGGGGGAAAGACTGGTGTTTGAAGCTCCCTAAAGCTTCCCTCCCCTCTCAGGAGTCCATCCTGAAAGGGCGCTTTGCCCCGTCGGGAAGGATCGAGGGTTTCACGGCCGAGATTGGTGCCAGCGGCTCCTACTGCCCCCAGCACGTCACCCTGCCTGTTGACGTCACCTACTTCGACATCTCTGAACACAGCGTGCCCTCGCCTTTCCTGGTGCGTGGATGAGGGAGGGCTGGCACTGTGGGGGAGGGTGAGTGGGACTGTACCCTGGCACCCGGGGCACCCTGGGCACCCCTGTGGAGAGGTGGAGAGTGTGGCTCAAGCAACCACCTACCCGTGCAGGTGACTGGCTGTGCCAGGAGCAGTCTTGAACCCAAAAAGCAAAGAGGGAAATAAAGAGGGCACATGCACAGGCAGGTCGCTGCCCCGATGCCTCGTGGTTGTGGCTTCACTATCACCTCCTCTCTGTTGCTGCTTGTTCATTCCCTGGTTTGGAGAGGAGCTGAGCTGAGTGTCTTCATGCTGACTTGTGCCAGGTGTTTTCAGCAAAGGGGGGGGGGGTCTCAGCCCCGTGGTGGGTCCCAGCTGGGCTCTCCCTGGGCTTTCTCCCTCTCTCACATGCTGTTTCTTTTGCTCCAGGGAGTGATTGACTTGGAGGCCTTGGGAAAGAAGGGTTACAGTGTCCCCAAAGCTGGAACCATCCAAGTGGTGAGTCATTCTCTGGCCTCTAGTAGCACCTTGGGGACAGGGCTGGGTGGGCTCTGGTTGTCCCCCATTGGGCTGGGTATGCACCATTATGTTGTTAGGCAAGGCAGAAGCCAAAAAGCTTGAACGGAGGGGGTACACGGCCACCAACACAGCACAGCAGAGTGGAGCATGAGGTCCTGGGGGTAGAAGGTGGTGGGAGATGCAGGGAAGGAAAAGACTGGTGAGGAGGGACGGGGTTTTGGCAAAAGAGTGTGTACATGCAGTGGGGATGGGATGGCATGGGATGTATGGAGGTGAGTGGAGAGGACTGACCTGTGACTCCCAGGCTAAACCCTCTGGGGCTGGTGTGGAGCTTTCTGGATCCTTGGGTTGGCTGCTTCTGCTCCCAGATGCCCCATGCCTTCCATACAGATCCATTTGTGTGCCCTTCTCAGTCTCACTCCCTACCCCTCTGCCCCCAGACCTTATTTAACCCCAACAAGACTGTGGTGAAGATGTTCTTGGTGACATACGACTTCCAGGACATGCCAGCCAACCACATGACCTTCCTACGCCATCGCATCTTCCTGGTGCCCGTGGGAGAGGAGGAGGGGGCCACCGTGGCCTCCAGCGACCCACTGGGCACCAGCCCACCCCGCAGGGTCCTCTGCTACCTGATGCATCTGAGGTAAAGCACCTGCCCCAGGGTCACCCCTGGGCTCCTCTCCAATGTGTCCCAAGCCTGCTGGACAGGAGGAAGGGTGGCAGCCTGACCCTGTCACCCTGGGGAGGAGCAGGGATGACCTACTCCTCCGGGATGGTTGCAGCTGCCACCCTGCCCAAGTGCAGCTGTCTCTGTCCCTCCTGAAGGCAACCAGAGCGTGGCCACCTTGACCAGGGGCCAGAATAGTCAAGGGGGTTGTGATGCGCACTGAGGCTGCCCTACCCTTGCCTGGGAGCCTGAGGTCCCTCAGCCCTGCTCTTGTCTCTGTGCAGGTTTCACAGCTCCAAGTCGGGGAAGATCTACCTTCACGACGACATCCGGCTGCTTTTCTCCCGCAAGTCGATTGAGGTGGATTCGGGGATCCCCTACGAACTGAAATCCTTCACAGAGATGCCCAGGAACCCCTGCTACTCGCCCCGGGCCTGACTTTCCTCACCCCCCCAGGGCTGCTGGGGAGCCTCCAGCCCAGCACTCTGGGGAGAGATGAGTAACAGGCCAGCAAGCAAACACTGCTTTGAAACATCGCCCATCCTCCTGACCAGCACAGACACCACGCCCTGCAGCAGGGCTGGGATTACCCAGGGGGCTTCATCCAGAGGGGCAGGGGCTGGCACTGCAGGGACATGCCCAAGCCTTCTGCTGGTGCTGCTCCCAGCTTGGAGACTTGTCTGTGGCTGAGGTGGGTGGGAAGTGAAGAGTTGGGCCCGGGCTCTAGGTAAGACTACCCACATTGGCCCTGGGGGTGGGAGCAGAAAGTGTGGAAGGGTTTGTATTTATTAGTATTTATTGTTGCTGGGAGCGCAGAAGAGGCTCGTGCATAGGACCTGAGGTGCTGTGCTTGTTCTTCCCCCTGACCCTACCAGCACAGGGCTGCCCCTTTTGGGGCAGGTCTGTGGGGACTGGAAGGGTCACTGGGGAAGGCAGAGTGGCCCACCTCTTAGCCTGGGTGCAGCTCCCAGGCCAGGGCTGTGTTAAAAGACTGGGAGAGGCTTGGCCTTGCTGGGCACCAGCTCTGCGGGGCCAGCCCCACTCCAAGCAATCCTGACTCCTTTAGGGCAAGGCAGACCCCATGGGGTCAGTGGCAGTCAGGGCCATTGCCCTGGTTCCTAAGGCTCAGAGACACGGCTGTCACGTGGATGGGGACCTGGGGCTCTTTGCAGAAGCATTGGGGATAGCCCTCTCTGGGCAAGAGCCTCCAGAGCACGTACGCCACGGATCTGAGAAGATTGCCAAAAACTAGGAGCCTTGCACCATTTGCAGGTGTGGGGTGAATCCCAACCAGGAGGCAGCTTTGGGCAGGGGTGTGCCGGCAGCACCATCAGGGGCTGGAGGATGGGCAGGAGCTCAGTCCCTGAGGAGAGAGGAAGCAACAGGGACATCAAACTCTGGGCCCTCAGGAGGGGGTCTGGGGGTGACCTCAGAGCAGCACTGGGAGTGCTCCCCCGTAGGAGCACTCTGGGGAGCTGCAGGCCAAGCCCAGGGAGGTGAGGGGGGCAGGGGTGAGAGGGTGAAACAAGCTGGAACATACCTCGTCTGTATCACCCCTCTTCCTGAGGTCTCTGCAAGGCTCCCAAGCCCCAGACACGTCCCCCCACCGGCTACCTCGGGCCCCCCTGGATTCCCGTTGCTTCCCACGGATCCCGGGTGGGGGCGTGGGGATGGGCCGGGACAGGGGGAGGCCTGGGAGGAGGTCCTGCTCTCCCCTGCCCGAGGGCAGCCGAGGGGACTCCGGCCCTGCTGGGCTGGGAGGAGGGTGGGGGCCTGAACCCCCTCACACACGCAGCGGGGGCTGAACCTCCCTCCCCTGGGGGCTGAACCTCCCTCCCCTGGGGGCTGCTCGCCCCACACCCGGGGCCCTGAACCCACCAAACACCCGGGGCCCTGAACCCACCAAACACCCGGGGCCTGAACCCTCCACACCAAGGGACTGAGCCCCCTAAACACCAGGGGACTGAACCCCCAAACACCGGGGGCCGCTTCCCCCCCGCCCTGGGCACCGGGGGACCGCCATGACACCGGGGTCTCTCTCGCCCTCAGGATATCGGGGCTGCCCCTTTCGCCGCGGGGTCGCGAAGGCCGTGCCGGTACTTTTTCGTGTTCGTTTCTATTTTAATAAACGCCCGTTTGGAGCCCGAGAACAAGCCCGGTGCTGCCGTTGCTGAGGGAGTGGTTCGGGGGGGCCGGGGGGGGGGAAGGCGGAACTGCGGGCGGGCGGAACGGGAGAGCGCGGGCGGCGGGGCCGGTCCGGGCAGCGCACCCGGAAGCGGCGCGGCGCGGGGGCCTGGCGGGGGTGCGGGAGCGGCGGCGGCGCCGAGCGGGGCGGGAGGAGCCGAGCGGGAGATGCTGTCGCGGGCGGGGCTGCGGGCCCGGGCCGGCCTCGGGCTGCTGCAGGTGCGGGGAGTGGCGGGAGAAGGGGGGGATCACGGAGGTGCCCACGTGGGGAGTGCCCGGGTGCTGGAGGGGCCGAGGGCGGGGGGACGTGTGGGGAGGTCTGGGTTGGGGGCGCTGGGCTGAAGAGTCAGGGGGGTGTTGAGGGCCTGAGGAGTTGAGGGGGGGGGGGGTGGGCGGGGATAGGGGTGCGAGGGCAAGGGGGGTGCACGGGTTAGACGGGTGTGGGGAGGTAAAGAGGCGGGGGGTCAGTGGGGGGTGTTGGGAGTCCCGTGAAGTGCTGGGGGCGTGGGGGTCTGTGGGGGTAGCTGGGCAGGGATGAGGGAAGGGGAGGGTTCAGGGGGGTCGCAGAGGACAGGAGATATTGAGGGAGGCTCAGTGGGGTGCTGTTGGGGGCTCGGGGAAGTGCTGGGGGAGTGGGGGCATCTGCAGAGGAACTGGGCAGGGATGGGGGTGAGGGGCGAGGGGTGCAGAGGAGGGTTAGGGGAGTATTGGGGGTCGGGTGGTGCTGGAGAACTGGACAGGGATATAGGGATATAGGGTAAGGAGGTGAGGGGAGTGGTGCAGAGGGCAAATGGGTGTAGGGGGACTGAGAAGCTGGGGTGTCAATGGGTGGTGTTAGGGGTTTGGGGGAGAGCTGGACAGGGGAGGGGGTGTGGGGAAGGGGCTGCAGAGGACAAGTGGGTACAGGAGGACAGAGGGGAGTGGGTCAGTGGGGGGTGTTGGGGGTCTGGGGAGTGCTTGGGAGGGGTGGGGGTGTGGGGGGGGGGGAGGGGGGAGCTGGGCAGGGATGGAGGTGTGGGGTTTCAGGGGAGTGCAAAGGATAAACAGGTATGGGAGGTTGGGAGAGTCAGTGGGGGATCTGGGGGACTGGGAAAGTTCTGGAGGGGGGAACTGGGCAGGGATGGGGGTACAGAGCGTGTGTGGTGTTTAGTGGGTGTGACTGGGCATGGGGAGTGGTGAGGGAGGGCTGAGATGTTGTGGGAGAAATGGACGTGTGGGGCTGTGGAGGTCTGGGAGCCAGTTTAGG